TTTCTTTCAAAATATTAGTCAATTCAAATATTTTTATTTTCATTTCAAATTCAAATCTGTAACCAATTAACTATTTATTTATGACCAAATAACAATGAGCAAATAATCTGAATGATAAATAAATGAAAGTTCAAGATTATTTATTTGAACGTCCCATAAATTAAGGAATTTGATTTAAAGATTCTTAAAGGGAAGAAAAAGGCCTTGATTAGCAAGGATGGCCTGTTTGAAAAAAGGTTAAAAGAAGAATATCTGAGAGACCTCGATAGGCTGTCATGAGAAAGGAGTAACATAACCATGGTTAAATAATTTTTTTAATTAAAAAAATCTTGTCCGTTGATTAGTTAGAAGTACACATGTCAAATGATCAGCACCCTATTGAAGAATAATGGAGCAAACTTTACTAGAGGGGATCCCAATCCTCATTTATTACCTTATTTATTTATTTTGTCCTAAAATTGCCAAATGACTTGTTAATAGCTTGTCACTTAGCTTAATTACATTGCATATTACCCTCCTTTTAATATAATATAAAATCTATAGATATTGGCTTTGTCCACACATAAAAAGATATATAACTCTTCACGGAATTTTAACTATTTATCGAATCCACACATAAAAAGATATAAGTCCAAGACTGGTGCATAGCAATACGAATCATTAACTATTTATCGAATTTTACAGAAATATCCCAAATAAATTCTAACTGACCAATATCTAGCCATTAATCATAAACTTACCAAAACTAGCCAAGCACATATAAAAATTGAAAATCTATTCTTTCTCTCCAAGAATCATACGCAAAGATCTCCTTCCATATTTTTAAGCATAATCACCAACATTAGATGCAAGACGGAAAGGAAATTTCATGTATGTGGTAGCAAACAAGATGATGAAATAAATATATAAAAAGAAATACAAGATTCCAAAAATCTAAGTAAAAAAGGGACCTTTTTCAATAGATATGGTTGAAATCAGTGGCGGAGCCACCTTATAGGAAGGGGTGTTTCGCGGGAAAAAGACACTGTGTAGCTAGGTAAAAAAATAAATTATATATATATATACTATGTATTGACTCCCCTTAATTTCCTGGTATGTTTACTTTTATATATTTTGACACCCCTTAGCGAAAATTCTGGCTCCGCCACTGGTTGAAATGCAGTGAAAACATATAGATGAGTCAATATACAAAATTTGAGGAAGATTGGAGGTGATTTTGACTGATTTGATATCAAAACTTGTAGTTAAAATCGAGTTCAAAAAATTCTTCTGCGACACATGTATCAAACATGTATTACGCATGTATCTTACACACAGGTATACATGGATATACATGTGATACACATTCGATAGAAATATGTTACATATATGATAAACAAATGATAACACAATATGATATACATATCATCTTTTTTTACGTTCATCATTTACTTCGAATTTCAATTCAAACCACCTCAAAACTCTACCAAATCATCCCAAAATTGAGATTTAAGCTCTTTAAGATGTATCCAATCTATTCCAACAATAACCACTCAAAAGAAAGCAAAAATTTAGCATTTGTTTTGCTACAAATAACTAATTGGCTAATATTGATAATATTTTATAAATTAACTAATTTATGTATTAACTTATTTATGGGCTGACATAACTAATAATTTCTCTTTAATAGATAAAGTATAAAATAAACAAAACCTGATACTAAAATTGGCCTCCGAAAGAGAAAGTGAAGATAACAGTATTAAGCAAAAAACATAAGCAGAAAAAGATGAGTACTTCAGCGTAGAGGGGGTCTACTTGAGCTATTAAATTGATTATGGAGAATATTACTATATTAGATAGCTTGAGGCATGTGAGTACAATATTCTTAAGGATATTTTGCCCAGTAGTGATGAATAAAAATAGGCCTATTTATCAAGATTCAACAAGTTCTTCCAGTTATCAACTGGGAGCAAAAACAACAAAAATATAAGAAAATAACCCAGCAAAAGAGGAAGAAAGAGTATTCGAAAATCTGTCTCTTTAATATAGCTCTCCAAAACATCTGGTGTACATATGGATAGAGGATTAGCAACTAGCTTAGGATTAACAACTCAATAATGGCTAGTTTAGGATTAATCACCAACGGCTAATTATAAGTAATATCAGAATCATCCTCTAATAAATTTGTACTGGCTAGTTTAAAAATTAATTTTACACTAGCTAGTTTTAACCACTTCAAGGTAAGGCAAAAATAAAATTAACAACTATAAGTAAAAGTAACTTTTGCAAAACTTGAGTTGTATCAGGCCTCACATATATTGGGATAAGTGCACAAACAGCAATTTTCAAAAATATTATTTAGAGATTAACATTTTAAACTTTAAATTTTAACTTCAAGACATTTTTGTCCTGAAAAATTAAACTATAAAACAGAAATTCAAAATATACTGACTAATTCTTAAATAGAAACCGTTAAATTGGCAACCTAATATCATTTCTACACATCTATCTCACACGTGGGTGGTGGTGGGGGTGATTGATCCGTTAAAGTATATAGATAGAATAGTGAGAATCGCTATATATATAATTATCAGCTACCTCAACCTATTTTACCATATGATTTTTTTTTCTTTTTTTATACACCATGAGACTAAAGTATGTTTTTATCTATAGAGTACTAGAAAGAACTAATGAAACGAGCAGAAATGACTCTTTCTAGGTAGTCGCCGCTGCTAAAACATAGGCAATATTTGCAAAGTATTTATTATTTAACCACTTCAAATTTAGCCAACATCCCCTTTTTCTTCTTTGCATAAGTTATATAATGGTAGACGTCCCAATAAGAGGAAAAGGAAAGCAAGCTATCAGAGAACAGTCAAGTTTCTCAGTACCGATTAATTCTATAATAATCTGATCGTAATTCGTTTGTTTCTTCTTTTGGTTAAGACTAAATACTTACACCTTGTGTCACTACGGCCGAGCCGCCCGGGCCGGTTTTCCACTTTTCTCCTGTAGATCGAAATTGATATAATCGCTAAAAAAAATAATAGCCGACAAAATGTATATTTTTGTATATTATATGTTAGTGAATATTTATATACAAAAATATACATAAATACATAATCATTGTATATTTTTGTATATTGGCTAATGAATGTAATTATTTTTTACCGACCAATCAAATGTGCAAGTTGCCCTAATATTAATCTACAGATGTTACCCTCGTACTTACAAATTAAGGAGAAATAGAAAATAGTGTTCGTCAAAGGTGAAGCAATATAGAAAAAGTAGGATGAAAAAAGAACACACGAACTGATTGTTGTTGTTTTCTCATGGGCAAGTACGCAAAGGATAAAATCGTTGAGTAATTCTGATCAGTTTATTTTTCATGGCTGATTAAGATAAATGAAAACAATTAACCGCTTTAACATGGTTATGTTTATTGACATTATCTTTTGACATTTGAAGAGGAGAAAACAAATTAGTAAGGAGAGTACACTAATTATTGTATTAGTACTATTTTAAGTTTGGTATACACCAACTTGCTATTTTTAAAGTTGCATGAAACGAGCCAAATCACACACTTATATTTTTTTAGTTTTTGGAGAGCTTTACCAAAGAGTTCTCTAATCCAATTAAAAGGGGCCATAGTCTGCAAGTGACACGTTTCTTTTTCCCAAGTACAACGCAGAGTCATGACTTTAAGCCTAATTTTATTCTTTATTGCACTTAACTACGTAAATGTACTATGGTGAAGAATTGAAAATATTATTGTTCTTACATCTAAAGTAGCAAGCTATTGACAATCTCTTTTACAAGTGGCTTCTAAGCACCCTTTTCTTCCTTTTCATACTCCAATGGACAGTTTGCTTCAATGGATTAGCTGGATTATTCCAGTATAGATTTATTAAATTTATTTCTATTCGATTGAAGCTATAAGCGAAAACCAATATTATTTTGTATCAATATAACTTATACCTTTAGAAGGTAGGATAAGTTATCCAATATATAGTCTCAGTTTTAATCCCAGAATTACAATCCGGGACATCTTAGCTTTGAACCAAACGGCCCCTAAGATCTTATTGAATTAGCTAATGTGAAATAATTGCAACAAAATAGCCACATCACGCGATTGAAACGGAAAAAAACCTACTTACCGTTGATATTCATATCAACCAAATGAATGTTTGGCATGTGCTCTAACATTAGTTAAGTGAAAAGTATTCACATTCTAATAAGTTAGTTTTATAATTAGATTGCTTACTTTAGTGTAAATAACGGATGCGAGAGTATTTTCCCAAGTAGAAAACATATTACTTTGAAATTTTTTGAATGATCTTTCATCATTTTCGTGCATGCACTATCTTTTCTTTGAAAGTTACTAGTATCAATGTCCCCTTGGAGCATCCTTTAGAGTTAACATAGTTAAGAACATTTTTTCTGATTAACAACTTTTGAACAAATTACCTAACTGCAGCAATATGCGTCTCTCCTTGTTTAAACATTTTGTTACAAACAGGGGTAATGAAAGAAAATTAAAGAAGTCACATCTCTGCACAGAACTTGGTTTAAATTAGACCATTTCAACATTTCTGCCACCAAATATCACTGTCGTTAACTTGTTTCAAAATGTAACAACCCCACATCATGCCAGAAGTAACAGTTTGTGGGTGGAGGAAATTGAAACTGAAAGCAGGAATAACCAAACAAACTTCACAGCAACTAACCGACACATTCAAGCATGCTGAGCTAGAATATTAACTTCTCCACAAGACTACAACAAATTCTTGAAATGTCAATACATTGTAAAGAAATAATGATTTCTTTTGCTTTGAAGTTAGTGCAGGAGAGGAGCATGGGAATAGAAGTGGAGTTGGGGAGGGACCACTCAACCTTAAGCAGAACCTAATGGAGTGCTATTCTCAAGATTAGGCCAAAAAATTCTTCTGCTGTTATCTCTTTTTAATGACATCATAAAACAGGACACTAGCCAAAATTTTGAGTTTATGGATTCTGAGTTCTAAAAAAAAAGCAGTTTAATAAGTTCTGGATAAATTATTCATATATATTAAGTTAAATTTTTAATACACGTATAAGGTTTTGCACAAAGCTACTGAGTCCTACCGAACCAGTAATAAAACACACTAGCTCCGCCCCAGACCACCAGAATCACAGCAAGTGCAGCTTCTCAGTCCATCTCTATATCTCTCTTTCAGTTCCTCACCTTTCTTCCTCCAAGCTTCTTTTACTAAACCTTGAACACAAGCAAGCTGTGAACCCTTTAGGATGTAGAATAGGGCAATGAATGATCACAAAGAAAAATAATAGTAAATTAAAAGAACACCTAATAGGCTTCCTCTGAGAACAGGAGAGATCAATAATGCATCATATTATATTATAATACAGAATAGGTTTAGAATGCATACAAAAGAAAGCAAAAATGAAGGCATCAAAACTGCGTGCCAAAAGGGTAGGGGACCACACTACAAACAGAATCTATTGGTACTTCCTAGACAAATTATGCCGGACACAACCTTATAAAAACACTATAGAATGATGCAAAATAATCTCAAACTAAAGCTGATTACCTTAATCAGGATTTGGACCATGAGGTCCCCCCCTCCATAATTGGCAAAATCAATTGGTACCAAGTCTATATCATTTAACATTGTCAGATTACATAACATGACCTAGTTATCAGCATATTAATATAGTACAAGTGTTCAAGGGAAAAGGACTAAAACATTTCATTAATACATATATAACATTAGAAATTGTACTTTCCACAAACCACTTGCCATTTAAAAAAGGAGCCAATGCATTTCAATGATGTAATCTTCATTACAAGTTTGCCCTAGGAAAATGGAGAAAAACATGGTGCTCATCACGTTTTGCTGTCTTCAGTCTCACAGCCATGCAAAATATTTGAAAACTTTTAAGGGCAAGAAGCTGCTTTCACCTCAACTTAAACTGACATACGTGTGATACTACTATATATGCATTCTGTTTTGGGGAACAAGCATTTACAAATGCATATACTGTTTTTTCTATTTGTTTTTCTTTAACTGATCAAAAAAATAGTATATGCATTAATAATTCCCCAAATCAGAAACTGCAAGAAAGCTGTTGGTTCAGTTTGTAATGGTCATGTATAGTATCTCTCTAAAGAGCAAAGACTTAACTTATGTAAGAGATATGTGAACTTCAAAGTCATCTCTGTAGCGGAAAAGGAGCTTTCTACAGCAACTAAGTAGGTGGATCTATGTTCCAGTTCCAATCAGTTTAAACAGAACACATAAACATATTGCATGCATAGCTGAGACAGTAAACATATGATATAAATGTCAATAAACCTGTACAAAGACATGATAATACAGCCACATGGACTGGTCTCTAATTTTTGGAAGTAAACGGAGAAGTATGCCTAACCGATAATGGTGGTGGAGACCGGGGGTGCTGACAAAGGGTCAACTAACTGCCTAGTGAAAATGGAAAACATGGCAATTCATACTTGGAGTTATATCTGAATGAAACAGAAGTAGACTTGTCATCGCATATTTATTATAACATTTACTACTAATTAAGATGCTAGAGACAATCATTAGAAAATTATAAGCAGAAGTGCCTGAAATCTTATCTTGCAAAACTCCACAATGTGTTATAACCCAACACCAGACACAATGGTAAGGGTTGAGGCAGCTGGCTTATCAGAGGGAAGAAGGGAATGAGAGAAATCTTTTGAAAATTAGGTTTTTATTGTTTGAGAACTAGTACAAGGTTATAAGAAGAGATGAAAATGAAGAAAATGGAAAAAAGGAGCTCCCTTCAGTCCAAGCAAGGAAAGAGAGGAATAGAAAACTATCTCCCGCATCATTCACTCAATCACAGTAGCACAAAATATATCCCTTTCTACTGAGTGGTTGGATGAATGAGTCGGCAGCTAATTCAACCCCAGTTCTCCTCCATGAGTGGGCTGAAGGAAGCTCTCTTAGGCCATTCCTTAATGCACAAAACTATTACAAGTCCAGTAATAACCAAGTTCTTCAACTGAATAGCAGCATTCACCAAATCATACATAAAAACATGAGCTGAAGAGGGTTAAAAGATTTTGATGTACCAACATTTAACTTTTATACAGCTTATATTCAACTGGGAAAAAAGGATAAATTGTGACATATCATAAACTCAATCACTATGACAAGTATGCAGTAATACCTGGCAATTCACCATGATGTCTCAGAATCAAATTGCGGAGAGTAAAAGGATAGAACTTTGAGCCGATTTTCACTTTACAGAAGCAAAACAGTCTGCATTGAACTTTAGAAAGAAAATGAAACGCAAATGCAACGGACAGAACCTAAATCATGTTTTGAATAATAGCTGAAGACCGAAGAGCTGGGAACTAAAATACATTCTTAGTAACCTATTAACAGTGAACTTGAAAATTTCCACATAAAAGGGAGATTTATATTTCTCATTATTGGGTCAATTTGATATATAAGAGTTAACATAGGTACAGCAAAAAACAACTACCCAAATTCCCAGGCAAATCCTAAGTCTCATGAGAGGGATTATGAATCACAAAAGTAAGAAAAGTAGCAGTAGACCTTTTGCGGTCTCTATTGATGGCAAACCAAAGTCATCAGTTTTAATAGCATATGACATCTGAAACCTCAGATGATACTCAAAGTGGCTATTTTTCTTTGAAAAACAAAAAATTAAACATGTCAAAGACATTTACCATGGGTTCAAAAGCACTACAGAAGAAAAGACAAAATCCTATGGTAACTATTTCAAAAGATAGAAAACAAAATCACTATACAAATGCAATCTGTTAACTGGGCAGAGTCAACTCTTAAAACAAACCCTACAATAGATAACAAACTTCTAGAAATCAACCAAAGAAAAAAAAGATCTTTAATTTGCCATTTTAATAAGTACAGTGGTTCTAATAACAAAATAGAGAGAAAAGGAAAAAATAATTATTTCAGAATCATAATGATGCTTCAATCTGAAATAAACAGGAACAAAGATAAGTAATCTGGAAAAAGAAAAACTAGAAAATAGCATTATTAGCATTCGATCAACTAGCTTGGACAGAAATTAATATGAACAAATGAATGTTAAGCAGCTAATTAAAAGATAATAGATCGAAGAACAATCTGAAACTACACTTATCTGCTCAATAATGAAAACCCTAAGTCTCCAATAATGCTTGGTAAGCTATCATTTTCCCATTTATTTCAAGTGTTTTCTGAATGTCACTTCACTTCCACAGCAATAAATAGAACTATGAGAACAAAACAAAAGAAGAGCAGATAAAAGAGAAAGAAAGGGGAAGAAGATAAACAACGTTTGGCTAAGAGAAAAAAAAAGGGGAATGAAATGAGATGAAAAAATTTATTTGAAGGAATAATAGGTGGAAAAAAGGGAGTTGCACTAAATAAGGAAGAGAAGGAGAGTGTATAAATACACATAAGGGGAAAATGAAGGGTCGTTTTCGCCATGAGAGTGAGGGATTAGAAAGCGACTTTAATTTGTCAACAAAATCTTTCATATATCATAGACGCAGAGAGAAAGAAAGAAAACAGTAAAGAAAATATATACTCCTATTCTTACTACCATAAAAACACCGAGAAAAAGTGAGTTCATGTGTTATCAGATCATCTACTGCAAAAGGGTAAAAGAAAAGGGAAGAGAAACTGAGGGAAGAGAGGGGGGTGGTGGAAGACAGTGAAGACACAAAGGGTCGTGTCTGGGGTTGTTGAACTTTTGACCTTTTACCCTTTTTTTTTGGGTAACTCATATTTGTAACGTAAGAGAAAATATTACACTTTATTTAACTTATTTCATTTTTGGTTCATTATAAAAAAGTTGATCTCTTTTTAAATTTAGAAATAAATTTACTTAAATTTATAATTCTATCCTTAATGAGAATCTTTTATAACCACACAAATACTCTAGGCCCATTTTTTAATTGTTTAGGACCACAAATTTTAAAAGTCTTCATTTCTTTTTAAATTCTGTGTCTAGTCAATTAAGATCGCATAAATTGGAACGGATAGAGTATCATTTAATTTTAGAGTTGTCTTTTCATGTGGCCAAGTTTTTAAGTAGGCATTTGGCTATAAGTTTTGGAAGATTTTTTTAAAAACATAAATTAAATATATATTTGCTTATAGAATTAATTTTTAGTTTTTGGGAGATTATAAAAATTAAAACTTTAAATTCTAAATATAGCTTAAAACCTCTTTTGGGGTCAAATCATAATTATTTGGGACTTTTAGCTGGAAAAAATAAAAAAGGAGACTTTTTAACATGTCAAAATTTGACCTAAATTCATGTACATTTTCAAGTTCACGTCAAACTTCATCCAAATCAGCTTTTTCAAAAAATATTTGGAAATCTATGTCCAAACAGATAAATTACCATTTGAACATATATTTGGTTAAAACTTGAACAGAAGAGTTTTTAAAGTTATATTAAAAATAACTTTTGGAAATTAAAATTATGTTTAAACATATATTTACTTAAAAAAATTGAAGTTTTGTGAGTACAAAAAAAGATTTACTTCAAAAGTTTTTCTTCAAAAACTTATCAAATTTCATAAACGAATAATGTTTTTAAATTTATTTTAAAAATAAAAAATAAAAAATATCTATGTTTAAACAGGAGCTAAATTTCTTTAGTCATCAGATATGTTCTTCTATCAAGATCTAGTTTATAGTTTATTCCAACTTTATTGATCATTAATAGCTTGTTTAGATGGTTATTACCCTCGTTTTATTATGTATTGTATTGTATTGTATTATATTATACTGTATTGTATCGTTTTATGAATACAACATTTGGATATAATGTATTGTTTGTTGTTGTTAAATAATATTTTGTTGTTTGGTTTGACTGTATCGTACTGTACTGTAACTGACATATTTACTAAATACCCTCAATTGTTTAAATATTAAATTTATCAAGAATTACGCATAAAAATAATTTAAGAAAACTCATTTCTATTAATTTATCACCAAATATGTCTTTAACTATCATTAGAAAAAAATAAAGAATTATGATAAAGAAAGGAGCGAGAATTGGCAGAACAAAGGAACAAAGAATTGGAGTTAAAGTAATTAGAATTTGAATTAAAATCACATTAGGAGAAAAAACTAAACAAAAAAAAGGCAAAAACTATACCTTTTACGTAGGAGTTGGAAGTGGCAGAAATTCTGGAAAAAAAGGACTAAGACAAAATAGGTTATAGATTGAATATTTGGAGTTAAAATTAAAAAAAAAAAAAGGTAAAAGGTAAACTAGAATTATGGAGTAATAAGCTATGGCATAATTGGAAAGAAAAATTAGAAACAATCCCACCACACCAAATCAGTTGTTTCAAAAAAATGAGACTTTTCATTGTGTAGAAACAATGGATTTAATAATATACAATACAATCAATTTTAATGAAACAATCAAAACAAACATTATTTTGGGATAACAATACAATACGATACAACGGGTAACAACCACCCAAACAAGTTGTAAGGGATAGTATGATTGAAAAGTTATGCAAGAAATAATAATATGAGTCCAGTAATACAAATATTAATAGTGTAGAGCTTATTTATGTAGTGATTAGTAACGCATATTCTTAGGGGATGAATAATAAAACTGTTATGCCATGACCAATAATAAAAAATATTGTTATACAAAATACTACTTCTTCATCATGCTCTACAAAAAAATATTGTTATACTCTTACGCATTTATTTGATTGAAGAATTTCGATTCTGTCTTCTTTCTTGTTCTCTCCTTTCATTATATTATTGCATCTGCTGTTTTAATTAGTCCTTTATCTATAATATTTTTTTCCAACCACAAACAAAAAAGATCAAAAGGGACATTAGATATTATAAAGAAAAATGATTTCCAGCCGTTCCAAAAAATTCCTATTTTTACAAACATAATGGTCTTGCATGAGCTGTTTGATTGGTCGGTATACAGTCGTACCTTATCGTTGCTATATTTGTTTGTTTATTCCTAATCGATGGGAGCAAAGAAGATTGAAGTTTTCTACTATTAGAAATAATCAAATTATTTGGTCAAAGAAAAACAATTCGAAAGAGGACCTTGCCAAGAGACATTATAGTACATATTTGAGTGCGCACAAACTTTCAAAAATATTCAAATATTTGAATAGTAAAAAATAAAAGGATAAAATCAAAAGCGTTCTCCTTAGCTCATAGCCTCACACAATCAAAATTGATCATATGAAAAGTTCCTATTCCATCAAAATTAAATTATATTATAGAGTACCATCCTTTCTGCATATTATCACTTTTATATTGTGTATTTCACCCAATACCTTAATTATTTGTATACCCAAAAACAATCTCTACCAGTTTATGTCTCACTTGTTTGGTAAGAAGTGAAAACCACTATATTACTTATTTCTTTCTCTATGCTAAAACGTTACTATCTTTGATTTGTTCGTTAGCAAGAGAAGTTGTAAACCCTGTTTGATCAATCAAAAAACAAGTAAAACCAGCTTGATTGAAGTGCACTGTTCATAACAAAAGAAAGAGCTTCTTTTTTTTTTAAGTTGAGACTTGTGAGGGAGTAAATGCCAAACATTCATTAGAGATTGTTATCGAGCTAGTGGAGATAATAAGTGCTTTCAGAATGCATAGAGATTGGAAAGAAAGGGGTGTTGTGGGTTGGGGTGGGGGAATGAGGGGTATTCATAGATGTCATAATAAGTGATCTTAGCATATGTATGTATATGTCACATTCCAACCTTGGAAACACGACATTCGAAGAACCGACTTCCATTCTTATATCTCTTAATATAAAATCTGGACTAATGAGCATCCAAGTATGATTGTTAATACCTTAATGTGAGTCGCATAATTGGACATAGTAAAAACTTTCAACATCTTCATTTTATACATAGGAGAGCATATAACAATTGTAGAGAGGGTCATAACCTATATGTACATATACACCGAACTTTAGTCTACAAGCTTCTAAGAGTGCCCTATTACATTACTTGGTCGGGACAGGGCCTCACATACCCAAAAACTGGAAGTACAAGTACCTATTAACTTTTGTATAGCTACTCCAAAGGAGCGGAATACATCAATCGATCGCTGAAACATTCATTGGAGATTGTTATCCAACTAGTGGAGAAAATAAGTGCTCTCAGAATGCATAGAGATAGGAAAGAAAGGGATTTTGTGGGTTGGGGAGAGGGAATGAGGGGGTGATCGTAGATGTCATAATAAGTGATCTTAGCATATGTATGTATGTATATGTCACACCCCAACCTTAGAAATACGACATTCGAAGAACCGACGTTCATTCTTACATCTCTTAATATAAAATCTGGACTAATGGGCCTCCAAGTATGATTGTTACTGCCTTAATGTGAGTCGCATAACTGGACATAGTAAAAACTTTCAACATCTTCATTTTATACATAGGAGAACATATAACAGTTGTAGAGAGGGTCATAACCCATATGTACATACACATCGGACTTAGTCTACAATCCTCTAAGAGTGCCATATTACATGATTTGGTCGGGACAGGGCCTCACATACCCAAAAACTGGAAGTACAAATACCTATTAACTTCTATATAGCTACTCCGAAGGAGTGAAATTGTAACGACCTGACTTGTCATTTTAAGAACTAACGCTACGTTCAGTGATTTAAGGTCTCGAGAAGTTTCGTAATATGTATTATGATACGTGTGTGTAGTCGAGTTTAATTTTCGGAAGATTCGGAATTTAATTTGAAAGAACAATTCTCATTTTGAAGTTGAAATGAAAAGAGTTAACCGGAGAGTTGACTTTTGAGCAAACAACTCCGGAATGGAATTCCGTTGATGTCAATAGTTTCGTATGGTGATTTCGGATTTAGGCATATGTTCGGATTTAAATTTGGAAGTCCGTAGGACATTCGACGCATTTTGGCGAAAGTTAAAAAATAGAAGATTTTGGAAAATTCGACCGAAGTGGAATTTTTTTACAACGAGGTCGGATTTCGATTCCGGAAATTGGAACACACTCAACACACACGAGAGGGGAGAGAGAGAACGGAAAAAGGCAGAAAATAAAAGAAAAACCTAAAGCTAAAGGTTGAAAAGCGCCGCTAAGCTCATCATCTTCTTCAAGCCACCAAAAGCCAATCTGAAACCTGCTTCTTCCTCCATTAAAACAGTCCGAAAACCAGCTACTCACATCACTAAAAAAAAACTCCATTTTCAGCCCATGAACTCCAAGTTTTAACTACCAAACTTCATCTTTAAATCAGTCATTTAGAAGCCTCAAAACCGCACCTTAAACCAGCCATGAAAGCCACTATTTTTTACCTCCAAAACGCTACTCAGTTCCAGCCCGTTTCGGCCACAAAAGTCGCACCTTCAGCTCTAAAGACTCAGCTGAAAACATAGTAGACTTCAACCCTCAAAACTTTATGAAAACACCTGAGTTACACCACCATTTTAGCATCGAAAATGAAGCTGAAAACAGCCGCAAATCAGCTGCAAAAACAGCACCAAACAATCTCCAAAACACTTTGTAAAGCAGCCCTTAACCACCTTGAAACAACCGCAAAATGTCACCCGAACCACTCCCAAAATGAGCTGAAAAACAGTCACAAATAACGCTGGAAACTCCAACATCCAGCCACACGAAACCATCCGCGAACAAGGTCGTCGGAGGTCGGGTTTGCGTGTCTTCAATCGAGGTTGCCGTTGAGATTTAC